CGAAGGTGTGTACAAGCTACAAAATACACATCTGCTGTTTAATTTCACCCGTAGAATTGTGTAAAGCCGCTAACAAAAAGGATTTTTACACACGAAAATATGTAAACGAAAAAAAATATATATTCATCGTGTAAATTTACCAAAAAAATTTAAAAATAAACAAAAATATACTTGATTTATAGTCGCATTTTCAAACAGATTTTTTAGAGTGTAATTATAAGTATTTGGTAGCAGTGCTGTTTATTTGCTAATTTGTATACGTTTAATTATATTAACACGTGTTCGCAATGCCTCCAGTTGAGTTATAATAAAAACGAATACCTACCTACTAAGTATTCGGGCAATTGGCCCGTGCCAGACACATGGACAAAATCAGATTCATTCGAATTTGTCCATTTGTGCTTCGTTGCCTTAATACGTTTAATTGCTTAAAAATATGTTTATGCTTTAAGATACACATCTGTTAAGTCAGACAGTCAGAAAGGTTTAAATGCAATCCCAGTTAAAAATGTACTTTAACAAGCTTTCGGCAAAACCAAGACAAAGAAAAACTGAAAATAAAAAAAGTGGATTTTTTTTTTTACTAAAATCATAAGAAACCATCATATCAACGAGAGCAAAGATGCTTACCGCAATTTTAATTTTGTTGCTATGCCTTTGTAGTTGATTATGTATGCATGTATTTACATACATACATACATATGTACAGAAATATATGTATGTAGATACATACGTGTGAAGTGCACTGCCACTCAGCAGAAAAGGTTCAACGTGATTTAGAACTTTAACTGTTAGATCTTGTTTTTGTAAATGTACAATTAAATTTTGTTTTTTTTTCTGTGGTTGTTTTTCGTGTCGTTTGTATATGCGGGCAATCTGCACCAAACAGTTAAAGTTGAAAATCATCTTGAGCCCTATTTTTCTGAGTGGAAGTGTACGTACGTACATACATACATATCTACATATGTATTTGGATGTATGCATACTTACAACTTCTTAAATCTAAAAGTGTATAAATGTTAGTCTTACATTTTGATGACCATTGCGAGATGCCGGCATTTACATATATGTATGTACATAATATGTACATACATACATGTATTTTAATGTATGTATGTATAAATATAAAACAAAAAAAAAACATTTGTAGTACTTATTGTGTGTACATATGTAAATAATACCTATAACATTGCTCTACCAAAGAAACCGACGCTAATATCCCAGTTATGCATACTTGGCTTTGCATGAGAGCTGTCACATAAGAATCTGTTAAAGGGGCTTTACGTGTAAGCGGCTACCCAACGCATAGCACTTAACATGTAGAATTCTGTTGGGGTTTGATTTTTACGTAAGCATCACCGAAATTTGCCGCAAACACATAGAGAAAAACGGGGGTGAAAGAAACGCTGAAAGAAACACTGAAAGCCGCAGATATGTAGATGATTTACTTGTAACTAGTTGCTTGTTCATAACTATAAGCCGTGGTGAAAATAGGTAAATATTTACATATGTATGTACAATAAATGTGTGTACTCATACTTACAATATGTGCATATGTATGTATGTATGTATGTATATGTATAATACAAGAAGCATCTGAGTTTTTCGGTGGATGCTTTTATGAATGAGAATGCCTTGATTGATGAATGCAGCGCTAAAATATTGCTCACTTGTGTTCGTTTATATGTATGTGCAAACATAAATATGTATGAATGTGCAGAATGGCTGTTCCAACGACATTTCTCTGCAGATTAAACGCCAACATTCCATGATGTACACATGAGTTAAAAGTATGTATGTATGTACATCATCTGTATGTTTGTAAGCCAACAAGAGAGCCGGCCAATTTTTCATCAATTGTTGCACTTGACGAATGGGCCGGGCCACACAATTGGTGGGAAAGACTTCATCACTTTGTCGAATGGGAACATATTTATAACTAACTAGTGCTTATAGTATATGTATGTATGTCTGTATGTGTAAAGCTACACATGCCTTGATAACAAATATACAAGCATAAATACATTCATATGTTCATACTCTATGTTTGCAGCGTTGCATTCGCATGACAATGCACCTCACTAACGAAACAAATTGCCAGCAATTATTTATATTTTTGAGTTGAATGGCATTGACATAATCTTCAATATGTAAGTATTTTCACACCTGAACACCTATCTACATACCTACCTAACTTTTTTGTTCATTCATTCATTCAGTCCTAACTCCACTACAAATCTTTATCAAGCCGACAATAGAGATGGATGGAGTATAATCGATAGTATCGATGTTTCTTATTTATAGCCGCTGTCGATAATCCTTGGGCTCTGTCGTATCTCCTTAGACTCTGTTATATGTATTTAAGACATATCTTCGCTACCATGTCAAACTATCGAATGTTAAAATGGGTATTTTGCAGGAGAGCAAAAAAAAACTGTTGTTGTCATTAGGAAAAAGTGTGGGAGTCGACACTTTGTTAAAGTCAGTATCCTCTGCTTCTACAAAGACTAGAAATTTGACGGTTTGCCAACTTACTTATCATTCTAAACGCAAGCGCAATGTATCGTTAAGCTGCCTTTACATGAGTCGATTTTTTGACAGGCGATAATCGCCTGCAAAAGTTGACTTACTGTCTACTTTGAGGCAAGCGATTTTTCAATCACCATTTACACGAGCGATTTTTCCAGAGCAATGTTGAATCGCCTGGCAAATCGCCTCATGTAAAGGCAGCTTAATTGAATAAGCATTCGGTAGACTGACATGGTACTGACTATGTATATGTAGTATGATATAGGGATGCAGAAAAAATATCAATGCATCGGATATTCGATCTATCGAATAAAACCGATGTGTTGGACCTTCCGATATATATCGATATATCGATGTATTTTTTTCGATGCATCGACTTTTGTGTGCAATGTGCACTGTACATATTAAAATTATTTTGTATGCTTCCAAGCTCTTTGCTCTAGTAACTATTCTAAATGTGCAGTTATTTGCACTAATTAATTGCTAGTTTATAAAGTGATGTAAATATGTACTTCAGTACCTTCCGGAAACTTTTTTCGAAAGCTTCTCAAAAAAAAACTGGGATTTGTAACTATTTAAATCAATGAATACATTTCACTGTGAGTTAATACCTAAACATTTATCGAAGCTCCGATTGTTTCACTTTCATGTTGTATATTTTTAATTGAAAGAAACTGTTGCTATTTTCATTCGATGCTTCGAAAATATTGATGTTTTTATACGATATATCGATATGAATCGATGCATTTTTTTGACTTGCATCCCTAGTATGATAATTAATGTAAAATAAAAAAAATAAAACAAACAATGCAATGGACCTGGACGTCTACTAAAGCTGCCACGTAAAAATTCGGTGTTAGATTTGTGCTGGGAGGGAGACTCCATCGCCAATTACTGCCGCTCAACCCGCCCAATCAAGTAATACACGCAGGAGGATTATTTATTTATTATTTTAAAAAAGGACTGCAATGAAACCCATTTGTTTTTAATTTAAATTACTTTTGAGCAATTAAATTATATGTATCTCCCATTTCGTGATTGTTTTTTTGCGATTGTTTGTTTGCGAATTTAACCGACTTTAACGCTGAATGTATGTATGTATAAAAACATCTTGCTGATAATCTTTACTAGATAGATACTCCAAACAGTTAGAATCATGTTGAACTTATGCTGCTGAGTAGCAGTGTACTATCGACGATATTTGTATGTATCTACGGGTAACAAAATAATATTGAAAACTATTGTTTATTTTTATAACTTTAGGGATGTGCATAGAAAATATAGAATAGCGAATTTATTTACAATTTCAAAATATTCACTCCTAAAAATAGCAAGAAATAGCAAATAATAACTTACAGATTTATATACATACATACTTATGTATGTATTTTCCAGAAATGTACAAACATTTGTGTGCATATAAAGTACATTTCCAAAAGCTCTTTTAGTAAAAATATTTGATGTATGTCTTTACAGAATTCTCGAGCTTCGAAAGGAAAAATCTCGGGACGCAGCGAGATCACGGCGGGGAAAGGAAAATTATGAATTCTACGAGCTGGCGAAAATGCTGCCTCTACCTGCGGCTATCACTAGCCAGTTGGATAAGGCTTCCATTATAAGACTGACAATAAGTTATCTCAAACTAAGAGATTTCTCTGGGCAGGGCGATCCACCATGGAGCCGTGAACAGTCGAGCAGTAGCAAATTGAAAAGTAAGTTTAAGACCTAATATGGCTAAAAAAAAAAATTAAAGATTTTTCTATGAAAAGCTCGTAGGCGAAGAAATAAGAACCATAAGATATCTTTTAAAAACAAGGAGGAAAATTTTTAGTTAAATTTTTTACTAGAAAACATTACATAACACACACATTTTCTTTTTAATTGCTTAAACGAATATCTTCCTAATTGTTTTAGAGAATTATGTATTTGAATTTACCAGCAGTACTTTTTCTACTCCATAGCCAAATAGGTAGAGCTGGAAGCCACCAGTGGCAGCGAAGGCTTATTTTTATTTTTTAGCATTCAATTAAATATGTAGGTAGGTAACCTAAACCGAGCAAGGGAATTTCTTATTTTCCACCTTCGATTTGCCACTTCTCTACTTGTTATGTTTGTTGTGTTCCGTTCGTTTCGCCACTCGCTAACTGTTGGCGATTCGATAGCGGCTGTTGATTTTACTCCTCAATAGGGTTTTCCTTCTTAATACGAAAATAATGTATTCTTGAAGAAAATCCATATATGTAGATTTTCTTATTGGTTTCGTGTAGCTTATTTTTAAATAGGGAACTACTATTTCGCAATGAAGTAAAAGTTGTGATGTAATGGACCAAAAAATACTTACAATTACTTTTGTTACAAAACTCTTTTTCGCAGGCGCTGCAATTCGACGTAGTCCCGCCGTGGATTTATTCGAGCAACATCAAGGCACTCACATTTTACAGGTCAGTAGTATTACAAATCAATAAAATATAACCATATTGCACACGACGTTTTTCAAAAGCGTTTTAATTAACACGATCTTGAACATACTTTCGCTACAAGACATTGCTGAGCACTTTGGGCAAAAATTCTAACACATTTACACGCTTGCGACGAAAATCCGCTTTTTTAGAACTTTGATTGGTAATAGCAAAAATGTGGTTCATTATGCTCTAAACACAATCTGTGTGAAAGATGGCAACTTTTGGTCAATATCTTAGGCTCGCCCAAGTCCGTCAAAGTTCAAGTCATACAAAAAATTTGTTCTTAGCTTACTTCGATTATCTACAAAAAAGGTCCATATACGCAATTATGTAGAACTAATACTTTCCAAGATACTTGCAATTTTATTAAAAAAAAAACGTATTAATTAATGTATTTATTAATTTTTAATTTTTGAGCACATTGAACTTTAATGGACTTGGGCGAGCCTTGACCAAAAATTGTCATCTTTCTCACAGATTGTTTTTAGAGCATAATGAACCATAATTTTGCTATTACCAATCAAAATTCTAAAAAAGTGGGTTTTCGGCCCACGCTAATATACATACATACATAAATACATAAATTTTATTTTTTGTTATTAACAAACCTAGCAAGTATCAGGCGTGAAGCCATATTAAACAGGTAGTAGCATTAGAGCAAAAACAACATTTACTTGTATTTTGTTGTTGCTTGAGGTGTCTCAAGTGTCAAAAAATATAAACTTTTTTTTTTTAATATCATAGTAGGCCATGTTAAATGTAAACGAAAATTAAAAAAAATTTTAATTCAATTTTAATTAATTGCTTTCTTGCTAAATCTGTTTGCATGTGTTTCTTTGCTTACCCAACGTTCCAAAAGATGGTTTTCAATCTCTTCTTTTTATGAAAAAAAAAAAAAATTTACATGAAAATACTTTTTGACGATTTTAAGAAAAAATAAAAAAAAAACTATACACATTTGACACTTTAGAGACCAAATAATTTGAAAACAAAAAATCAGCTGATCTGCTCATATGCCAAGCCCGGCACCTTAAAAAATAAAATAGGTTTGAAGAGCTTTATGAAGTGAGATTTTCAAGATAAATTTTCGATTTATGAAACATATTTTTTATGAATAGGGGTGTTAGTTAATAGGTCGTAGGTGATGCTTCAAAACGTTCTATGTCACTTATGACCCCTGGTGGTTAATGGATCTGTTATCTGTATCTGATCGCTTTACAGTTGCATTCCGGTCCACGTAAGAGACCATCTAAGTGTCAAGGGTGCTAATAGACATAGACCGTTTTGCAGTATCACCGACGATATTTCCGAAAGTATTTAATCTTGGACATGTAATTTATAATCTCATAACTAGATTCGACATATGTATAGTGCACATTCTTTAAGGGTATTTTAATTCAGTATTTACTTTACCTTATCTTCTTCTTCTTATTTGGCACTACAACCGTATGTCGGTTTGGGCCGATAACAAAAAACTTCCCCAGTCGCCTCTCTCATTTTCAGATCTGCGCCAGCTGTTCATCTCAGGTGCGGACAGATCCTTCCATTGCAGTCGTGGGCGCCCTTGCTTTCGTTGTCCACCCATGGGAGTCGAAGGATCTTTTCACCGGAGCGTCGTCATCCATACGTACAACATGTCCAAGTCAGCGCTTAACTATGTCCATGTCGTTAAAAAGCTCGTAGAGTTCGTCATTCCATCTTCTTCGAGTGGCGTCGCCCACGCCAACTGGGCCATAGATCTTGTGTAGTATAGTTCTCTCGAAGGCACCCAAAGCCTTCTCACCTTTGTTAGACAACGTCCATGTTCGTGTGGCATAAAAAAGAACGGGCATGATGAGGGATTTGTAGAGCGTGACTTTTGTTCGTCGTGCTTTTCAAGTGCCCACCGAGCCCAAAGTAACACCTGTTGGTAAGAGAGTTATTCTTCACTTTGTTTTCAGACTGACGTTGTAGGTGGTGTTCATGCGGGACCCTAGGTAGACAGAGTCCTTCACTACTTCAAAGTTATATCTGGCAACAGTGACGTGTGTCCCGAAACGCGTGGACTCTTTATATGTTGCCAGGAGGAACTTTGTCTTGTTTTCGTTCACTGCTAGACCAACCTCGTTAGGTACGTTTTCTAAGCTGCAAAGTGCTGCGATGACATCCCTGGGTTTCAGGCCCTGTTTCCTTCATGATTTATATATTGCAAATAAATCTATATTTTACGCTATTTCCTCGCATAATTACTCATTTCCATTGGTTTTGGTATCTAAATTCCGTTAATTAATCACTTGCTTCTTGCCAGATGCCAACAGGGTTGCTTAAGTAGCTAAAAGGGAATTTCACCCGAGTTGAGCGTTCTTTTGTCACTCGTTTACAAAAAAAATGCACCTAATAAAGCGGCGCTAGCGTCGACCAAATGGAATTTTCATTTTTGACAGGGCGTTACGTGTTGAAGTTGGTTTCAGAAGACGGAAAGAAAGAGATAGCATAAAAAGTTAAAGAGGAAACAAGAAAACGCACAAAATTACGACGCGTTTATTTGGGTGTAGAGCGCGGTGACACTCGTTGGCACTGGAAAACGCAACGCTTTGCGCTCCAATTTAGGGACGGCAGTAGGTTGTCTTCCCTCTATGCTCTATGAATGGTTTGAGACAGTGCGCCAGTGTTGCCACACATGGGCTTTTCCTATCAAAACTGGTAGGTTTTTTTCCATTTGGTAGGTTGGTAGCATTGATTGGATTTTGGTAGGTTTCGTCACAATGAGTAATAGTTGTTTGCGAAAAATAAAAAAAAAAAGTATCTCCAAACATTTTAGCAACCTTTTTTCAACGAATATTTCACTGGTGCGTTCGTATAACGGCGGCCGCAAACATATAAATATACCTGATTTTTAAGTACAAACGTTATTATTGCCGATACACATACTTTATGGCATACGTGGACCAAGATTTCAGAAGAGTATGTCAATGAGCTTGTACCCAACCATATTCCAGGCGGAGCTCTTCGCAACTGAAGTCTGTGGTCGCGAATGTCATCGTAGACGGCAAATGAGGCCAGAATAAATATTATGTGGGATATTCAGGCTGCGTTAAAGATCTTAGAATCGTTTAAAACGGCATCAAGGCTTGTGAACTCTTAAACCTCCTGGGAGCCCACAATAGCGTAACGCTGTGGTGAGTTCCGGGACATGAAGGGTTTGAAGGGTTCGAAGGCAACGACAGGGCTGGCTGACTCGCAAAACGTGGAGACCAAAATCGCTTGCATGGTCCCGAGCTATTCAGTGGTACATCTAAAGGATACACTGCAGAACTACTTAGGAGCTAGCTGGGAATAATCTCAGATTGCTGCCCACTAGCGGAAGTCAAAGCGAATAAGACAATCAAAGAGATTCATAGCTCCTACCAGGAGGAATTCCGAAAGACTCCTTGAACTTAAAATTCTTACTGGCTACCTGAAAGCACACTGCAAGTTAACATACCATTTAAATTAGATGGGTCTTTCTGTAGGGGCGGACTGTAGGTTTTATGGGCTGGTGGAGGAAACCACACATTTCGTTTTCACCAGGTTGAAAGGCACGTTGAATAGGTAACAGCAGCAGGGTTGCAATTTTGATTTTCTTCATTCGAAGTGGTCCATGGATTGTCATTTTTGTTTACATTTTATTCTGCAATGTCAAATTTTGGGCATCAGCAATGATGAGATTAGATATTAGCTAAAAATTAAGGAAAACAGGAATATTATATTATGTTGAAATAGTAATCAGCCTGGACCAACGTGTATGTATGTATATTGTTTTGCCTTCCTTCCAGTCCCTCGATGGATTCGCATTAGCCGTTGCTGCAGATGGTCGATTTTTATACATATCGGAAACAGTCTCTATTTACTTGGGTCTGTCTCAGGTGGAAATGACAGGAAGTAGCATATTCGACTACGTTCATCAGAGCGACCACGCGGAAATTGCCGATCAACTGGGATTAAGCTTAACTAACGGCGGCATTGCTGGTGGTGGTAATGGCAACGGCACAACTGGCCTGGCGTCGCCCACTTCAGGTGCGTCAGACGACGGCATTGGCACTCACGGCACGAATAACCCCGACGGTAAGTTCGACAAAAGGTCTCAAAGGTAAGGCACTTTCGAGTGAATTTCAACCCCATTCAAATTGAATTCAATGTGACTTTGGATGAAATTCATTCGGAAGTGAGTTGCAGAACCTGCCCGCATATGTACATACATACATAAGTAAATACAGATACAAATGCTTGCATGTACATATGTATAGTACATTAGTGCGCGCTTTATTTGTATGGAAAAATTGTTTTTAAGCTACAAAGCAAAACTCATTTGTTCATAAAAGGTGCTCTAGGAAAAATTTTCTAATCTAACGGAAAGATGAGCCCCAGATTTCCAAAAGTTGGTTGAAACATAAAGCGCACACTAATGTAGATGCAAACTTGTGTGCACTTGCATACTTAAAATGTTCAACAAGGTGTCCCAGAATTTTTCCCTTTTTGCCTAGATAATAATTTACACATTTATACATATGTAGGTACATAAATGTAGATATATACATATGTACTTGACGTTGAATTTGAACTAAGAACTTGTACCGGGATTGCCACACCGTTAATCACAACTAGAGCTCAATTGTAATAATTAAAATTTTACGTTTTTGTTGAAGGCTATTGAAGGGACATTTCTTTTTTTGTTAAAAGTTTCTTAACGAATTCACCTCACCGTAATCCCTACCCCAAATCCTCTTGCTTTCTACTTTAAAGTCCGGATCAAGGTGTCATGTGACCCTTACTGAGGATTAGCGAGACACGGCTTCTTATAAATCCCAGTTGTCCTAGTCGGAGCTATTTGACCTTACCCAATTACAGCGCCTTCCTCTGCCTGGACAACCCTCTTTGTCCGCCAGTCGTGGGACCAAATATGGATACAAAACGAAAAGCGCTCCTAAAAAAAGGCAGACAACGGCAACCACATCCGCCTTAACCCAGCTACGGTAACCATATTTATGGAAACAAAACTGCAAAGAAATAATTTCTTTTGAGATTCTGATTAAAAAAATTTGCAAATTTTCGTGAAACTTTGCAGAATTTTCATGGTTTTTGCATCAAGTCTGAAACTTGGCTTTACATATATCTGGTTTTTTTTAGGAAATAAGCTACACTTTCATAAAAAATAAATAATAAACATTAAATGAAGCAAAAGAAAAATAGCCAAACCTTGCAAAAATGTCGTGGCCCTATTTAGATCTTCGCCACTGTGCATGGATAAATGAAGCTTTTTAAATTTATGCTTAGATACTGATTGCGTTATTCAATTTAATTTAACTTTTTTCAGTCTCTGCGCAAATGACAGTGTCCTCTACCAGCGGGTACAAAGGCTACGAGCGATCGTTTTGTATTCGCATGAAATCGACACTTACCAAACGAGGCTGCCATTTCAAATCCTCCGGCTACCGGGTATGTACGCAGTATTTATGCATCTACATACATATATTCAAATTTACAAACTGTTGTTAAAAAATGTAGTATTTCACATACATACATACATATGTACATACATACATTTATTCTAGGGTAAAGTCCGAATTTCAATGCTCTCACCCCCTGTTCTATATCGAAAACAATATACCCCTATTTTTTGCTTTTATTTCGAAAACTCTTTTTTACTTTAGGAGACTTCAAATAATAATACCCAATTGTTTATTTTACCATTTTTTAATACAAAAGATTTTTATGGGCAACCATTGAATGTTTGGTGTTTTTTGGGGACCTATAAAAAATTGTTAATATTAAAACCTGGTTACATAAACATCTGGGTATTATTATTGGAAGTGTGCTGGAGAGAAATATAGTTTTCCAAACGAAAATAAAAACAGGGTTATATTTTTTCGGTATAGAAAATCCTAGGGGCGAGAGCATGAAAATGCCGACTTTATCTTTTTTCTGAACACCCTAACGGCTACACAAGTGGATATCGAAGTCGTTGTATAGGATAGATGCTCGAAGTGTTACGGATTAAAAGTGCTAATGTTTTGTACATATATTTCTACAAACATACATAATTCATCAACAAAACATGTCAAATTTTAAGAAAAATGTATAACTATTCAATGTTGCCACCTTTAGCGCGGATAGTAGCATCGAGTCTGTCCGGGAATGCTTCACAAGGTGCACGAATGTGGTCTGGTGGTAGTTTGTCCCAGTGTCGGCGAAGAGTAATCTTCAAAGTATTTTTTTAATTGATATTTTGGCCTCGAAACTGTCCCATATGGAAAAATCCATGGGGTTTAAGTCCGGTGAATATGGTGGCCATTGCGTAAAAAAATTAAGCTGTGAAGTGTTTTTCAGAAAACGTTGAGTTTCGTGAACTTTATGAATTGTTTTCGTGTCCAAGGTAATAAAGCATCGTTGCTCTTCGCGTTCCCGTTAGATCTGTTGATTTACTTTTACGACCTGTTCATCATAAAATTTCCCTAGACCAAATTCGAGCAGAACGTGAGGCATTCCTGGACAGAATCGACGCTGCTATTATCCGCGTTAAGATGGCTACATCAAACAGTAATACACTTTTCTTAAAATTTAACCAGTTTCTTTGATGAACTGATGTGTGAAAATAAAATAAATTTACAAAATTATAGGATTTTTTATTGGTAACACTTGGAGCGCCTACTCCTGTATAATCGCACTCCTCTAGTTCGTAACCTTTTTTTGTACATATGTATGTATATCTATCCCCAGTAGTATTTGGAATATTTAAGTATGTAGGTAGTTTTAAAAAGTACCTACCTTCCTAGCATACGTACATACGTAGCTTGTTTTCGGTTTATTTACTTAGAATAATTGTTTTGTGTCTTTGATTTTGAGTTGTATTTATGTAGATACGTTTTGATCCAGTGAGGCAAATAGAAAGCAAAATTAATTAAATCTAAGTGTATTTTACCAT